CTTCATCGGTCTCTTCATGGGGATCTTCTTCTTTGGCATGGGCAAGGACGCCACGCTGGCGTACCACAACGTTTTCTCCATCGTCTTCACCATGCTCATCCTCGTCTACACCTCCATACTCCCCACCTCAGTGACGTGTGAGTTTCTCGAAACTGAACGTCTCACCTGAATTCATAGAAATTATTCTCAAATTATAAAACAATAATTTCGATGTGTACAACGGCGCCTGAGAGGAACAACTTCTGGCCATGCATCTGTTCTCAATAATGGCATGTGGGTGAGGTAAACCTATGTACATTTGACCCACAAGTGCACAATGGCAACAACATTTGCTGGTGAAGTAATCCATTCCCTGTTCAGAGACATATTGCAAACCCTTCATGGGGTATTTTAGTTCACGTTTTCCCACCAAGAAAGTATATTTACATTTAAAAAAAACATTGCGATTTTAGATCCATTGGAAATCCATGTGCTGCTGAAAGAGATTCTCAATAAGTGGTACTCCCTCAAGGCATACTACGTGGCCAAGACGCTGTCGGATGTCCCTTTCTCCGTGAGAGACCTGCGTTCTGTGCCATTTGATATTCTACATTTCTTAAACATAACTATATTATTAATTATTGATGCTATTCATTTTTAAATAAAATAATCATCATTTTAGGATGTTTTCTTCCAGCTTCTTTGTACTCTCATATACGTCGCGATATGGTACTTCATGAGTTCGTAGCCCATGGACGCCCATAGATTCCTCCGGTTTCTTGCCCTGAGCGCATTCGTTTCCATTATTTCCCAGTCTCTGGGACTCATCATCGGCACTGTCTTCCCCATCCAGGTCAGTGTTTAATTATGGTCCCACTATCGCAGGTCATATTAGATTTAAGAAAAGATTCGTCATGCAAAAATAATTTCTTCATAGAACTTTCGAACTCTTAAATAATGCATGACCTCCATACTTCCATGAAGTTCTCGTTTTTGTGAAGGCTTACTCTAATTATATCGTTAAAAATATCCTTTTTGCATTATTGAGGTTTTTTTTTTATTCTACGGAAAACGTTTATGTTATATACGAGGTTTGGCGATAAAGTTCCCGGACTGATTTTTTTGTGAGTCTGTCAATGGCACAACATTTTTTTCATTCCATGGATTGATAATAAATTAGACTGTTGGGCAGTGTTGTGTCAGCCCTAATCTGACTAGCATCTTGAATGAGAGTTTGCCTGGCAATGTAGCAGCTCAATGTGTAAGGCGTCTGTCATATTCCCAGAAAGAAGCACATCATTATCACATTTTTTTCTCAAACCGATCAATACAGCTGCATTAATCCATGAAACGTTGCTGAAGTGTCTTGAAAAGTTCCTTGTTATGCTCCAATAATTTTGAATGACCTTCAAGGCCTTTAGCAAGTAGTGAAGACACTCAGATCCACCTCAACCCCAACCATCACCGACCATTCACCGAAGGGATGACTGAATCAGTCATTATTTTCAATGTCATTTCTACTTGCTGAAAACCTTGAAAAATATTCAAGATTCTTGGAGTATGCTGAGACAACTTGTCAAGACACTTCTTGCAACATTTGATGGATCGTTGCAGCTGTATTCCCGGATTGAGACAAAATGTGATGAAGCATCGCTTCACTCTTGGAATATGACAGACGCCTTAAGCATTGAGAAAAATCAGTCCTGGAACTTCATTGCCAGACCTCATATATATAGTTTTATATTTTGCATACATTTCCAATATTATACCATATATTATATACATGGTGACCCCAAAAAAAACATACCGGAAATGTACAGAGCTGGGAGGAGGTCATTTGGAACATGTCCTGTAATTTCTAAGCCAGAAATTACACTATCATGATTTGTTTTTATATTTTACTCTCAATATTTTCTCTACAATAGGCCAAAGTTACATTGTGTTTTTATGAAAACTAATAAAGTTATGGCTTTTCAATGTTTGGTATGGTTTTTTTTGGGTCACCCTCTATTGAACAAGTAATTCCATAAGTGAAGATTACAAAACTGACGGATCAGAGAAGGCCTCCAATGGAATTCAGCCGCCATTAATTAAGACCATTGTAGTGTAATACGGGGCATAAAGTCACGAGAAACACAATTAACGGTTAGATACACAATGAAAGTGCAATGTTCATTGGAATGGACGCGGGGTCCTAAAGTGTTAAGTAGGAACTATGATCTGAGCAGTATCGAATTGACCTTCCGAACTGCCTGCAGAAATTACTGCTGATGCATCGTCTCCAAATATTCGCATATGATGGAATCCTAATGTATTGCAGCAATATTGGGTCCTTACATATAACCTCATGCATTTATATCGAATTGACCTTCCGAACTGCCTGCAGAAATTACTGCTGATGCATCGTCTCCAAATATTCGCATATGATGGAATCCTAATGTATTGCAGCAATATTGGGTCCTTACATATAACCTCATGCATTTTCAATGCTTCGTCAATATTCCTCGATCGAACGTTCGAAACGTGCTGGTATTAATATCAATATATTGCTATATAGAATACATCATACATTGTTGTATCAGTCCGTTCCTTAAGTAGTGTGTCGCATAACATTACCATGCTGTTCTCGTGACATCTGTCCTCCGTTTTTTCCCCATCAGACAGCCGTGTTCGCGGGTTCCGCATTCGTAGCCCCCTTCTTCATATTCTCGGGTTCCTTCTTGAGCGTGAAGAGGACTCCGCAATACTTACGCTGGGTCTCCCACATCTCCTTCCTCAAGTATTACTTTGAGGGAACGATGTTCTGCATCTACGGCTACAACAGATCTGATCTCCTGTGTAATCAGCCCTTTTGTCAGTTCAAGAATCCCGACAAGTTCTTGAGGGAGTTGGACATGGAGGAGAACGTGTACTGGCTCGACTTCTGGGTCCTCATTCTTTGCAACATCGTCCTAAGGGTTGTGGCTTACTATGTGATTCGGTGGAAGATTCATCGATCGCAGTGATGCCGAGCTTCCCCGTTGAAAGTCTTTCACGCATAAATCGTCAAGTTTATCAAACTTTGGGAGTAAGGAGTTCTTAATACAAGATCTCTGGAGACAAAACGGATATGCATGTACTTGGCTTCAAATTTTGTGTTGCAAAGGTTCACCTTTCCAAATTTTGATTCATTGACTAGAGTTTGAGCAAAGTCGACAATTTCAAGCGTTTGGTATACTTGGACATGCAAAGATTCATCTGGGATCTCCAAATGCTCACAAGCTTTTTTTCTCCAGTGCTTCTTTTTTTTTTACAAGTACTGGTCGATTACGGAAAAGAATGGTGGACTCATTTTTTTCGTCATGGAACATTTTTTGCAGAGTTTTTGAGGAAACTTCGCATCTCATCTAGAAAGAAGAAGCAGACCCAAACGTTTTTGGATTCCCCCGTATTTTCTACGAAGGACAAAGGACCCCCCACGTCCCATAAATAATTTGGCCCGATTCGAAGCATTCGAAGTCTCTCTCAGGCGTAATAAAAAATGCTGCAGGGTTGCTTTCATATCCGGTGATTATATATTTGTGAAACTCATCAAGAAAATATATTCTATGCTATCCAGGCATGTCCGAAAGGGAATATAACGATGAATGAGAACGTGAGCGCGAGAACCATGAACGAATTCGCGTTGTCTCTCGCATTACGCAACCTAAATAGCGACAAATTCCACTCGCAGACCGAACAAGCCCGGGCTTCATCGTTTCGAGCAAACGTTGATTCGTGAAGGAAATCGCAAAATACAAGTATCCTCGATCGACCGACAAGACCGCACTGGCCCACAAGTAAGAAAGCCAGATTATCATCCAGGGGAAGTTCAAATCGATTCCATTCACGATGGGAAAGGCGACAATAGAATATTGTGCGCCGATTGCGGTGGCACAGACGGTTTTTCCGCTGAATAACGAAAAAACGACCGCGACCCGAACGCATCAACGATGACAAAGGAACAGTTGCAATTGCTGCGGTTTTGCTGCGAGGCAAATCCTTGTCTACCTGTACCATGCGTCAAACGCTGTTGAAAGCAATGTAAACAATAAATAATTACATCAATATGGAAATAAGTGCGTTTGCGATGCGTCTGCATGAAGATGGAAGCGGAATTATAGATTTAAAATTCTTAAATACTTTTATTTACTGAATTTATACTGTTTATTTTGAATCTCATTCCAAAACTTAGGATCGACATGACGGTCTGAACCACGTTACCGAAATGCCACGTGATTTTTTTCTTCAAGATAAACTGTCGTTGCAGGTTAAGATGATTAAATCATATCTGGTTTTGAATATGTTCCTAGGTGAAGAAATATGTACAATTCCAGACATTGAGGATCAGCATAGCCAGAGTTGAAGGCTGCAGGAAGGCAACTCAGAACCTCAGAACTGCAGCATTCCCAGAGCTGCTGGAGGGCTCCGAAGTGTTGGGCGTCAGTGGGCTCCGATGGGCCCTCACCATCTCTGCGACTCTGCCTCTTTCCTTGAAAGGAGTCATTCTTGTGGATCAGTCTCCGATGGCATCAACATACCTGTAACTGTTATGAGTCATTAGTCACAACCTAATGTGATGTGGGGACTATGGAGGCATTTTCACATTATTGCTTTCACTGCGATGCATTCCTGCGAAAATACGAATGCGAATATGTAGATGAGATTCTTCCTTCACTCTGCCTCTACACAAGTATCCCTCCAATCGTATCAATGTTAAATGTCACTACATTGACCTCTCAAAATGTCACTACAGGATATAAACAATTTTTCTAAGTTGTAGTAGGTTGGCCTGGATTTGAAAACTAGGAATGCGGAACGTGTAACAGTACAATTTTCGTAGGTAATCCACATCCTGGCATGAGGTGCCGCGTAAATTGTATACGAATCTGTCTCTAGAGATCTTCCACAAATTAGTCCATATCCTAGATCCTCAAAATAAGCAGGTGTAGGAACAAACATTCACCCTGAGAACATTGCAATGGAATAGGGTAAGATCGGCATCACAGGGAATGATGAAGCTTCCATCGAAGGACAAAGTAAGACACAAAACGCAGAACGACGTTGTAAAGAACGAGAACCCAGAAATCGATCCAGTACACGTTGTCCTGCAGGTCCAACTCCTTCAAGAATTTGTCAGGATCCTTGAACTGACAAAAGGGCTGATTGCACACGAGGTCAGATCGGTTGTAGCCGTAGATGCACACCATCGTCCCTTCGAAGTAGTATTTGAGGAAGGAGAGGTGGGAAACCCAGCTCATGTATTTCGGTAACGCCTTCACGCTCAAGAAGAACCCCGAGAACAGGAGAAACGGTGCTAAGACTGCTACACCCACGAACACTGCCGCCTGCCAAAGAATGTTTGCACAATGACGGCCGTCATAGATAAAAATCTTGACATCAATCCCTAGTGGCGCATTGATTAGTCAATCGATGAATAATGATGCAGCATCGGTGCTATATATATATTTGGGCATATGTAAGGGACACGTATTCCGCAATGACGGATTCGGATTTCGTTCCCAGTGAATGTTGGAAGACAATGAATCAGTAATTATTAATTCATACAATGAATCAGGGAGCGATATATTGGCCTTATTTCTCTGAGTCTCACATACTGTACTTCGAAAATCGGTTAAAACGAAAGAAATCTTTGATATCAGTGGTGGCCAAACGGTTACATTCATTGTGCCAGTTACTTATCCATGTCTTGCAAAACTGACCTCATGTTCGAATCAATCATAGCCCTATGGTTAGAGTGCCATGAATGATATTGTGAAGTAATGCTGAAATCATAGTGATTTCCTTAGAAAATATATGCAAAATACAACATATGCCAATTCATCCTAATATTAAACGTCCCACAAATGCAGAGAAACTAAATCATTAAAACATTGCAGTACAAAAATCTTTTTCTGGGCGCCGCAGCATAGATGCGAATGAGCATCACAATGAGATCCAAGGTCATTGCCAAAATAATGTATATTTCAGTGCAATTCCATGTTCATGACAATACAGCTTCAACTGAACTTTAAAAAATTCCTTTAACGATTTTCTCCCATGAACATCAGACTTGTTGAATTGTGAAACACTTACCATTAAAAAATCCAACGAAGTAAGAAAAAAGAGAACACTATGTTAAGCCAATACTAGGGCTGACGTATGTAGATGTATGACAATGGCTAACGTCAGAATATCAAAGAAATGTGGAACTTCTGTGCCATACCGAAGTGTTAAGTTTCATGGAAATTAATGGGTGTTTTTCTTTACGATGGCTCTTCTACGATGCGACGAAACTGGACACATTTTGATGACATCATGATTCTTAGAAAATAGATATTCTCTTCAGTCAATTCACAGAATCATAAAATGCCAGGAAGAATAGGACATTCCACCGTGGAACCATGGAAATCACATGGGGATACGCTGACCCATTCAAAGACTGTACACATTCTCGTACATAATTGAACAAAATATTCACTCCTCCAGAATGGTGTGCTAGGTTCTTTCTCTTGAATTCCTTGATTTTTCAATTTGATAGAGGGTGAAATAAATTCTTTAAAAAAGCATAACTTCAAGCTGACCTGGATTGGGAAGAGCGTGCCAATCAGCAGTCCCAGAGACTGAGAAAGAACAGAGACAAATACGCTGATCGCAAGATACCGGAAAAATCTGTTAAAGTCCATTGGCTGCGCAGTCATGTTGTAGTAGATCACCAGATATACGACCGTACAAAAAACCTGCAGAAACATGTCACCATTAATATTGAGGAGGTTTGGAAAATCAAAGGAGACAGAACGCAGTTCTCTCACGGAGAAAGGGACATCCGATATCGTCTTGGCCACGTAGTATGCCTTGAGAGAGTACCACTTGTTGAGAATCTCTTTGAACAGCACAGGGACCTCCAATGGATCTGGAATTGCAAGAAGGTGTAAGATGCTTGTCCAGTGGCATTGCTAGCATAATTATTCTCCCTTAACAGCATAACAATTAGCTGTGCTCGTGGCGAATATTAGTGCCCAATACTCACTTCCAGAATTACATTCACTATTAAATTACTCAGATTAGTAATGATCATCTAATGCCATTCTACATAAAACATGAATGGAGCTCCTCGACACGAAAGTCGCCTTCTCTCAGAACAGCTTTATTTGTTCTTAATTTGCATAGTTGTAAGAATTACGTCAGCATCCTCCAAAAAATTTCATTGGATGACGTAATGATCAACATTTCGCTATTCAAATCGCAATCTTTCGATGAAAAATGGTACATCCTAGAACAGAAGAACATCAATAAGGCTAATAACACCCTAATACATTAATAACGTTTTTAGCAGGATTCTGATGGGGAGTCTCACACGTCACGATGGTAGGCATCATAGCGGCGAAGAAGACGAAAAGGATGGTGAAGAAGAGCGAGCTGACGTTTTGGTACATGCTCGAGGCATCGTCGCCCTTGCCGTAGAAGAAGATTCCCATGAAGAGACCGACCATGACGTGGGTCGCAACTCGAACGTGCAGTAGCCACTGAGGGGGTTAACAGGTTGGTCATTATGAATCCCACGAGAAACGATGAGGCATGGAATTTTACCTCCAGCTTATTGTTACAGACTGGGGATTTCGGAGAGTTCCCTGCATTTCATGCATAAAGCTGATATTTTCGAATGACAACAAATAAAACATGAAGTTAAAAAATGCATTTAAACTATTACTCGCAAATTTAAAATCGCAAATGGTACCGCCTACACTCAACATGTCAGCGATTTCGTTGAAAGCCTAACAGTGCAACTGAAACTTTGTCAAATCTGGTTAGGTAACTGGTTATTAATATAACCGTTTATTCCATACAACTACACAAGGTTTCGGTGCTTTTGTGCAGGTTTCAGCAATCTCTTCCAATACATGAACGAGCGGGCTGCTATTCCGAAGCATTATCTGCACTGTCGTTCCAATGCCTTTTGCAGGCTTTTCGCAAATGCAGACTGACGAACCACGACCAGCCAACGTCAGTGACAACAATCGATCGCCGTTGCTGCAGGCAGGCAAGATACGCCTTGCAAAGAAAATCCATGAGACACTTCCTTCATTGCTGGGACGGCGGGAATTATTTATGCAAGTGTTAATCTCAAGCGCTCCAAAGAGCCCCAATCGGCGTCAACGTTCCGGCTGCACTTTTGCTGAGATTGGATTTTTCCATTTTCCAATGGTTTCACTCTATTTCGCCCAGTCATTTGAGTCTCATTTGCACAGGCTCGCAGTTATAGCTTCCAGCGCCATTTACACAACTATCATGTGCGACGAACGAAGAAGCTTCGAAGTAGCCACCAGTATCTGTTATAACCAGTTGCAACATAATTTGCACCCCAGCAACACCGATGGAGGGCGTGGATAAAACCCAAGGTGGCGATTACCCTGAATTACTCCTTAGTTACCCTTGCGCCAGGAAATTAGTAAATTCCCCCCCCCCCCCGGCATGTATGGGACAAGGGCTCAAAGAACATCCTCGACTATCTAAATTATAAAAAGTATAAGGAGGATATCCTCATAACAATCGGTACGAAATGGTCTTAAATGACATCAATATAAAAGGGAAAATAACTTATCCTTACATGTGTGCACTTCCTTAGGCAATGATATTTAAGGCCTCTCAGGATACCTTGATTTAAACTCAGAATATGAAGAAAATCATTTGATTGAGTTTGATATTTCTATGGGCGAGACTCACCAAATCCCTGCTCGTTGTCTTGAGACATCGCATATATAAATACTTCACCTGGGTCGCGAACGACACGGGGTAGTCGGTCGTGACATCGCCGACCACCTCCGGTCTCGTCTCCAGCATGTTCTTCACCCTTCCCCATAGCCCTGTGAGCAATCCACAGCATCACATTCGATGAAGGTGGACGAATGCCGAGAGCGATCTTTGCCTTGTGATGTATAAGCCTAGTGCTCGTTCTCATCCGGAGGATGACGTGCACCATTAGCTAGTGATTGCATTTAAACTATTTTTCATGAGGAATAATCCACTATACATTGAAGCCTTTATGAAAAGATCATATATGATCCTACGAGGTTTTTGAAACATACAAATCTAATTGGATTCTTTACAGCAATCCTATAGGGTTCTAATGGGACCCTTTAGGAATCCTATAGGAATCTTATGGGAATCCTATGCGATTTTTAGGTTTCAAAAACCTCATGAGATCCAATCGGATTTCTCCGTATGGGAGTATAGGGTAAGACACAGGGGAGACTGGGATGAGGCGGACTTTTTTGTCAGCTTTAGCTTCCATCTAGTGTAGGGCTTTAGTGAATTTATAATCCATCATAATTCGCACGACGCTTTTATAACTTTTTTTTATAAGTTGGTCCTCCTCCCCTCAGTCTCCACTTGCTTGCCTGCAAGTTCGTGTGCAGGAAATGCAAATTATTGAAAATTGGAAAAAATCTGATAACACAATATTAATTTTACTTCAATGCACATTGTCATATTCCAGATATTGAAAGTAGTTAAGAGAAGCACTTTCGCAAGAATAACAGGCACCATGCCACCAGTATTCTGTGACGTATCAATCAATTAACAACAGTAGACGGAAAAAAGTTATTCTACAAACCCTTTTTTATAATCACAATCTTATGAAAAAATGCATTTTCAGATATTATCCTTTTGTACATTATAAACAGTTTTTGAACTTCTGAATCAGTTTTACTAGTAATGAGAAAAGATGGTTTTCGTGTTTTACAATCCTTTGTAACCCAGGGAAGAAACTCAATGACTTTATCTACTCCTTTCAAAAATCGTTGATTCGGGGATGAAATGACTGACAAAATACGAGGGTCGTTACGAAAGTTATGCCTGTTAAATTTTTCTTCCTTCTAATAAAAAAATTATGAAATTGACGAGGAAAATAAATAAAGCACAAATCTATGCACAATTATTTTCCCACATAGTACTCGTCTCGTTCAACAAACTTCCAATCCTCAACAAGAGCATGCATGCCTCCATGTAAAACTTATTACATGGCTGCGAAGCCACATACACAGAGCGTTCTTTACTTGAATCGCCCCTCTTAAGGAAAGTTTACCAGAAAAATGCCTCAAAGATGACAAACTCTTGATATTCTAGCGACACAAGATGGTTGGCTTTAGGCTGTAGGCAGCAGACTCCATTCGAACGAACGCGATTGTCAGATGGGCGGAGGCTAGTGTGCGACCCGGAGTTGTCGTGCTGCAGCTGCATCTGTGACATCTCATGATTAAGCCCAACTCGTTGGATGCTTCGTATCGTTTTTTTTTTCCTTATGCAGTTGAGGTCCCACAAACGTTATCCATTCGCCTGTGAATGCCTGCAGGCCGTATTCCCGCTGGAGTCAAAAATGCAAAAACAGTTCCCTGCTTCGCACGGACGCCAAGGTCGGCAGGCATTTTGGAAGGGTGTAGTGGTGCTGCCAAGTAATGGTTCTCCGCGAAACTGACGCGGCAAGGGCGGAAAATGTGAGTAATTCCATAGGAATTTTTCGGCTATCTTTCATGCATGAGAATAGAGAAAAGAAGCAGGCGTTACTTTCCTACCGACCCTCATATGTGTGCGGAAAAGTGTGCGTTTCTGTAAGACTCTTTTCGCGTTTCACACAACTATGCTTGAGAAAATAAATACAGTATGTGGGCAACATACAACTAACAAGAGGACAATGTCATATTACTCATAACACGAGTTTTATTTCATTAAAATATAAATGTAAAAAATAAAACTTTGTTACGAGTACATGAAACATTTATTTCAGGGAGCCGTGTAGACGAGGTAAGGAACACTAAGGGACTGCACTTCAATGCTATAAAAGTGCATTGAAGTGCTTAACCCCACTTCCTGAAAAGCCTGAGGAGTTAGAAACGGGTACAGAAGCAAATTTGTATTTCCACTGGAAGAAAATAATCACAATTACATTCCATTGTTCCTTTGGCACCACCTTCCACCGCCTCACCTAAAGCCGATATTGTTATTGTAGAGGGGTTTGCATTTTCAGCAGTTTTTCCTCTACTTTAATAATTAAAAAATGAAATGTTGGCATTTGTCTATCATGCAGGAAGAGAGAACGTTTTTTTCCCTGATTGAGTTTCAAAATATACGAGAAATATCGCAAATAAAATATAGATGGATACTTACTATGAGAGTCATTCGAAGACTTACTGTCGGCGTTCGAGGGAGCGTGCGGATCAGGTTCCTCCAGCGCGACGGGCAGTGCAGCATCTGCTTTGGCTGCATCGGATAGGACCGTCATGGCCTCTCTCCCGTAGAGGCCTGCTGCCACTTCTACCACTGCATCCCATTGGTAAATGAAATATATTTAGACGATCCCCCGTATTCCGTCTTCGTATGCAATTGAACCTGGGTTATTGGATCTGTTCATTGAACATCATAACTGCTGAGAAAGACGTTATGCAGAGGCACCTTCGAATATCCAAGGAAAAAGGTCTAGTTGAGGGATGGGCTACAACGCGTGACAGTCTGTTGGCATCAAGTTCCGAAGCGGCTAAACGGGAGGAAAGGCGGTAATAGGAAGTTTTGCATCTCTAGATCTACTGCACGAAAGCCGAGGATTGGCCCATTTTTGCTTCATCTTGCTTGTAGCAGAGTGAGTCCTCAAGGTAAGCAAGGGTAATATTTTCATTTCGTGACTACTCGCATGAGGAAAGTAGCTCCCAAAGAATCCGAGCTGGAAGGGCCAAGGAGGAGATGCATGGAAGTAGGTGGACAAGTCACTCATAGCAATCATCGCAAAATCATTGCGTAACATCTATGCAATTGGTTAGGAAAATCATTTAACTGTGAAAATAACGTTCACCAAAAACAGCTGCATCGGTTGTTCTCGAAATCACGGCGATAGATATTGCGCCAGATTTGCAAATTGCGTAATTAGCATTTCCGGCTTAATGAATACCTGATGACATGCTTATTTAGAGAATGCGATATGATTCTCCAAATCATGACTTAACGATAAAAAAATTCCTAATCAAGCCGTGGTTTTTGGCACAAAAAATGTATTTCATGCATTAATATGGATTTAAAATCAATTTAACAAAAAATGTCATTCCATTTTTCCCACCTCGGCCCATGATAAAAAGGTGCATACCAAAGTCTGCTGGATTGTGATACGGAGGGCAATGAAGGTCGAACTGGCGAAAGTAAGGCACCAGCGAGGAGATGGTGCCGTTGTAAAGACAGCGGCCATCGGCGAGGAGAATCAGATGATCGAACATCTCCAGGATCTTCACGCTCGGGTGGTGGACTGTGCAGATCACGGTTCGTCCCTCGCGTGCCAACATTTTCAGCAGGGTCACGCATTGCAGACAAGTAGAGCTGTCTAGTCCACTGCATCACCAATTGCAAGTAATTGTGAAAGGCATGTAAATCAGAGGATCATCAATGCGTCGAAGTGCTCGAAATGTGAGGTCTTTCTTTCAGCGTTTTGTCTTCGAAGAAAGCAATGGGCAATATACTTTTTGTAATTAGCTAATTTCCAAATAGAGCAATTCTCTAAATCAGTGGGCTTA